GCAGCACTCCCAACTGTTCGTGGGCACCCAACCTAAGAAACAGTGTCTCACAGCCAGAAACCTGTGGAGCAGAGCCCCTGAAGGCCACCAGAGACTCTCGGATGACAACAGCCACCCCTCCTCCCCTGCCCTGGTATCCTGGCTGGTGCCACACCGTAAACCCAGCTGGGCACATTTCCGAGAGGGGCACCCCCCCCGCAGGCCCCAGCCAGGTCTCGGTGATACATGCCAGGTCTGCCCCCCCCTCCGAGATCAAGTCACCTATGATGGGGGCCTTGTTTTTAACTGACCTGGCATTAAGCAGCAGCAGCCAAACTATGAAGAAATAGGATTGAACTTTAATATATAATGTAGCCCTTGTAGGAATTAATTTATATATTTGTTATGCAATTTAGAGGCCACCTGACTCCACAGGACTTTGGGTGGTGTGCAACATTAAAAGCATGAAAAAATAATAAAAGAACATAGATCATACCTGTCCAGCACAAAAGTCCATAACAGTCCTACAGGGGGCCACCCTACCCCAAGGTCTGGGAGAATGGCCAGGCTTTCAGCGACTTTCTGAACTCCATCAGGGTTAGAGCCACATGGATCTCTACAGGGATGTTGTTCCAGAGGGCAGGCACCGCAACAGAGAAGGCATGCTTTCTAGGTCCCAATAGATGACATTGTTTAATCAAAGGGACTTGGAGCGCATACACTCTGCTTGATCTTATTCAATGGGCAGAAACTACAGGAGAGAAGCGGTCCCTCAAATAACCAGGGCCTATACCACATAGGGCTTTATCAGTGATAACCAGCACCTTGAATGGCAACCAGCGCAGCTTGGAGAGCAATGTTTGGTCTAGTGAAGGCACCAGGCTAGAAAGCAGGAGTCTGTGAGTTCTGGTCCTGCCTTAGGTGTGAAAGCCAGCAGGGTGACTTTGGGCCTGTCCCTTTCTCTCAGCCCAACTCACCTCCCAGGGTTGTTGTTGTGGGGAAAATAGGAGCAGGAGGAAAGAGCATTAGGTATGTTTGTTGCCTTGAGTTATTTATAAAAATAATAAAGGCAGGATAAAAACATCTAAAAAATGTGGTATCACCGCAGAATGCTAATTACTGCTCATGCCGTTGTATTCTGGACAAGCTGGGCAAGCTGTATTGTCCCAATTACTGCTTGTGCCATTGCATTCCGGACAAGTGGTCTTCAAGGCCAGTCCCATGTAGGGCACAAGCGACTGAAGGGCTTCCTGATTCAGGAACGGGTGCAACTGGTGCACTAGATGAATCTGTGCCAAGGCCTTCTTAGCTAATGCTGCCACCTGCTCTTTGAGTAGGACCTGTGAGTCCAAGAAGACCCCAGGACGCACATAGCCAGCCTCTAGTGGGAGAGTGCTACCCCATCCAAAACTAGAGATGGGAAGTCTCCAGGACCAGGGGGCCGACAGCCACATGTAGGTTTGAAAAGGTGGGGCACCGCAGGCTAATCCCACTCCCTCTCAACCAACTGAAGCTGATCACAGAGAAAGGAGAAACGTGGCACCCCCCAATCCAGAGCCAGTCCAGAAGAATAATGTGTCCAAAGGCCGCTGAGGGATCAAGGAACATCAGGATGGACGCATCGCCCTCCTCCAGCTCCGGCAAAGTCGCCGGGGCCAGCTGCCCGGCGGATCCTCAGGAAAGCCCCGCGCTCCCTCGGAACCCAGCAGAGAGCCAACAGAAGAGAATGCCCAGCTGGCGCTGAAGACGTGCCCCTGCCGGGGAACGAAGCGTCGGCAAGGAAACAGCCAAGCTCCGAGAAACCCGAGGACTCCCCAGCACGGAGCGCCGCCGCAACGAGCGCGGAGAAATCGCCCTGCCGGGCCTCATCGCCGCAGCGTAATCGCGAAGGCC